TCTCTACAAGATAATTTCCCCTTCCCTTGAGATTTATTCAAGAGTTTATTCAATAGATCCATATGCTCAGTGATGGTGATAGCGGTGGTAAAAACACTAAATTCATCACTAGCTCCATTGTTTCAGTGTGATACTGAACTCTGTCCTACAAATACATCAACATGTCAGCCTCAGTAAGTTGATATATTTTACAGATAGAACAAGCGCAAATGCAAAATGGGAAGCAGAACTTTCAATCAGACTGACATGGTTTGAATCCCATGTGTGCCAACAAATGGACATGTAGCTTTGGCAAGTTACTTAGCCTCTCCGGGCCTCACTTTCCTCATCCATCAACAAGAGATAATAATACTTAGGGTATTATCAGCATGACAACTAATATATTTAGAGCTAGCAAATTAATGTGTTAAATGGGACTTTAAAATTATTTTCAGATGAAAGGGTAGGAAAGGGAGGAATGGAAAATAAAATAAAAGCTTTAAACTATAGAGGACAAACGAAAAGTTATAATAACCTCTAATCAGCATTCTAGAAGAATATGATAGGGAGAATGGAAGAGATCCAGTGTTTGAAGATGCAATGGGTTGAACACATTCTAGAACTAAAAATGATGAATCCAGAGATATAGAACACACAAGCAAGATAAGTAAAAATAAATCTATAGAGAGAGATATTACAGAAAAATTATACAATACTGAAGACAAAGAGATCTTAGAAGCAGTTAGGAGATAAAAGACAAGTCACCCATAACAATACACCATTACACTAACAATAAATCTCCCAGTAGCAACACTAGAAGCTAGAAGTCAACAAAATATCTTCAGTGCTGAAAGAAACATTTCAACCTAAAATGCTCTCAGCAATGCTAAAGCTCAAAGTGAGGGCAAAGTAAAGATGTTTTCATTTATACAGAAATAGAGAATTATTACGGAGCAATAGGACAATACCCAGGTAACTCCTAAATGAATTATTATTCAGAAAGAAGGAAAGTAATCCCAAGAGGTAGGAGGATGAAAAAAGTGAGCAAATCAATTGGTAAACCCGTAGATGACCTAAATCTAAGCAGAGCCTTTCTATAAGTAATCATAATGTCTAAATTTTGGGGTAAACAAAAGGATGGCTAAAATACTGGACAAGAACAACATGAAGTGTGGGAGATGGGAAGCAGAATTAATGGTCAGGCCTCCTTGTATTTTTCAGTGAGGAGGATGATTAACATAAAAGAATGTGAGGGTATAACTATACCTAAAACAGTAGAAGAACATAAATCCAATACATTAAAAAAATTCATATTTTTTTTAAAAAGGCCAGAAACAGTAAGTCAGACATAAAGCCAAAATAAAATGGTAGAAATGAATCTAAATAAATCAGTAATTACACTAAACTATAAATGAACCACCAAACTATCAGTCAGATTATAAAACTGAATTTTAAAATGTAAAAAGTCTAGGAACTATATATATGAGGCATTTAAAATATGACACAGAAAGGTTTTAAAGGAAGGAAAAATATGCTAGGCAAAAGCTAACCAAGAAAACTGAGATATAAAAAAATAAACTGTTGAAAAATTAATACTGGGAGCTGGCAGAGTGGCTCAAGTGGTAGAGTGCCTGCCTAGCAAGTATGAAGCCCTGCATTCAAACCCCAGTACCGACAAGAGTAATTAATTAACTAAACTAATTAATATTGGAGCCATGCACCAGTGGCTCACACTTGTAATCCTAGTTACCCAGGAGGCAAAGATCAGGAGGATCTCGGTTTGAAGCCAGCCCATGCAAATAGTTTGTGAGACCCTATCTCAAAAAAACCCAACACAAAAAAGGGCTGCCAGAGTGGCTCAAGTTGTGGAGTACCTGCCTACCAAGCATGAAGCCCTGAGTTCAAACCCCAGTACTACCAAAAAAAAGTTAGCATTGGGGATAAAGAAGAATAGTTCTAAATATTAAGAGTCAGTTTAATAGACAATAATTCTAAGTCAATTACCTAATAAAATAACTTAAAAGTATGTAAACAAAATTGATAGAATCATAGGGAGAAATTGACTATTCTACCTTTATAGTGGAAGATTCCAACATGCTAGCCTCAATTATTGATAGGTCAAGCAGACAAAAGATTAGAAAACATAAGATTTAAATGCCATAAGAAACCAGATACACATGTAGCCTGTAGTTCCAACTACTTGGAAGACTGAGGTGGAAAGATCAACACACAAGATAATAAGTGTGATTTGTTTGGGCAGCTATCATGGTGAGAGAAAAACACATTTGCAAAATTGATCATGTATTGGTTCATAAGTCAAATCTCAATAAAGAATCAGAATTTTAAGGCCAAGTTCTCTGTAAGAATTTTTTAAAACCTATAGTATATGAGGGTAATACTACCTACTATAACATACCCCTACATTTAACTATCATAAGCCAATAGACTTTTATGTTTACATAATAGCCCTTGTGATTATCCCTGTCAGTGAGAGACTTAACCCATGAAGTGATTCATAAATCTGGCTCCTTCCCAAGTGTGGCTTCTCTATCTTCTGTGAGCCTCAGTGTCTATTCGACTATTCAGACTCTCTAACCCTTTACTCTTTCTGTTTGTTTAGACAGAGTCTCACTATGTAATCCAGGCTGACCTCAAACTCACTATGTACCCCAGGCTAACCTTGAACCCGTTATCCTCCTGCCTCAGTTTCTTAAGTGCTGTCATTACAGGCATGTGCCACCATGCCAGCTTCTTTAATAACAGATTTTCCTGAAATTGTTTCCATTTCATCTAAGTTTTCAAATATATTGAGAACATATATGAATAACATGAGTTAAATAATTTCAGTTGTTTTCATCTCAACTAAATCTGTAGTTTTGTCCTTTTGGCCCTAATACTATTTATGCTTGCTCTCTCTCACTCTCTCTTTCAATCTCACTTGCCAGAGATTGCTATAGTTTTTTTAAGGAGCTACCTTTTGGCTTTGTTATTAAACCTTTCTCATATATATATATATACATATATGTGTCTATATACATATATATGTATGTATATATATGCACACATATATGTAGTTTTTCTCCATTTCAGAATTTTGTTATCTTACCACTTACTTTTCTGCTTCTAATGCAAGTCTAACTAAATTGTCTAGCAAAACTGGATTAAGGAAAATTATATAAAACCTGCTTTCTGTGCCAAACTAATCTGCACCTAAGCTAGTTATAGTCAGAAAATTATACTCTGTAAACATAGTTATTATTTTCTATTTTCTTCATTTTTTAGACTCTCTAGTAATCAAGGACTTTCTATTGCAAAGGATAAAAACCAACATTAGCTCATGCAAAAAAAGGAATGTATTGGCTATGTGATTGAGAAATAAAAATATGAGTGGGTCCGAATATTCAAGGATACCTTCAGTGGTTCATGTCTGTAATCCTAGCTACTCAAGAGGCAGAGAACAGGAGGATTGGGGTTCAAGGCCAGCCCAGGCAAATAGTTCAAGAGACCCTATCTCAAAAATACCCAACACACAAAAGGACTAGTGGAGTGACTCAAGCAGTAGAGCAACTGCCTAGCAAGCATGAGGCCCTGAGTTCAAACTCCAGTACCACCAAAAAGAAAGAAAGCCTTCAGGAATCTCAGCCATGCTTTCCTCTGGGTCTGCTTCATCATCAGGCAGCCTTTTCCTATATAGTAGCGCAATGACCACTAGCTAGTCTTATATCTTACAAGCCTAGCAACCCCAGCAAATTTTTTAAAACCACAACAGCTGCACGGGGCTCCAGTGCAAGTTCCAGGATTGACTGTTTCAGCCTATACCCACTCCTACAACTAGTTACTTTGGAGGATGGGGGTATTCAACTGTCAACTCGGGTCAACCTACATGGGCCAAGGAGGGGGAGAAGTGATTCTCCAATGACGGGTAAATGAGTATATGAAAGAGAAAATAAGGTAAAGGATAGGGAATAGATAAATGAAGGGAGTAATGTTAATAGAAAAGAGAGATGCTGGACAGGCAAGAACACCTAATGTCCCCAGGATCTTGGTAAATCTTGAATTGGATCAACAAAAGAACAAAGCCTGGTTGTTACATCAAGAGGTTTAGGAAAATAGCTAATGGGAGTAGGAGTATTAAAAGGTGATAGGAGGGAAAACTGGGCAGAGGGATATCACTGTAATGATTTCCTTTCAGCCGAGAGGACTTCCTTCATCCACATGGTGGTACTATAGGAACACAAACACATTTCCATGCTCTATCTACTTTGTTTTTGCCAACTGAAATTTCACCTTTAAAGAGATAACTTTTTCACTGTGGTACTGTATCTCCTAGATTCCCAAAAGTGACTGTAGACACTAGTCACATGTAGCTATTTAAATTTAAATATAAATTAATTTAAATAAAATAAATTTAAATAAAAATTCAGTTTCTCATTCATACTAACCATAATTCAAGAACTCAGTAGACACATGTGGCTACCATATTGGATAGCTCAAATATGAAACAAGTATATTATCACAGAAAATTATAGTAGACAGTGCTGGTTACAATAATAAGCTACTACCAGCAAGTTTGTTATTAGGTGTCTTTCTTATGACCATGACTGTAAATGGAATTGGGTGAGAACTTTTTATTATGACAGAAATGAGAGAAGCTAACAAGGACCATCCCATGACCCTGTTCTTACTTCTTTAAAGGATTTCAGCTCCCATCAGATTATGCTCTGGGTCTCCAAATGGAACAGTCTCTACTGTCACAGAGTTGGAATCCCTGGTGATTTATTTGAATTCAACCCAGAATGGCAATGTGGGACCCTATGGCCAAGAGCCACCTGAGAGCAGTGGTGCTTGGGAAAAAGACATGAGAGACTGTTGGTGTTGCAGCCCTTAAAGAATGTTTTACCTAAGGCAGTCTGTTCATTAGTATCAGTACCATAAATTTCCACCTTATCATGTACCTGATCATATATCAATGTTACATATCTTTGATAAAACTCAATTTTTCCTTTTTTTCCCCTTTGCAGACCTATCCCCCTTTGTTCTGTTGTGGTATTAAAGAGCCAACTTGATAAAGTTGAAGGAAGGAAACTTTTTGTTTCTTGTAGTGTTCGAAGTATTGATGAGAAGACCCTGCACTCAGAGGCAACAAGTAAGAAGCTGCCATTATCTCTTTTGGGGATTGGTTGGCTTTAGGTTAGGGTTTTATTTTGTTTCATTTGTTTGCTTTGGTTTTGTACCCATCCATGCCCAGAAATTCTTAATTTCCTGACATGCACAGGACAAATTCATTCTTATACATTGCTGGTAAAGGCTATTGCTAATATCTATCAAAAGTACAAATTATGTGCTCTTTGGCCCATTCCCACAACTTTATTTCACAGATCAAATGTAAGAATTACAATGTATTAGGTCGCTAAATGGTTCCAGTGTTTGTTCATTCCAACATTATTTGCAATAGCAAAAAAAAAATGGCAAGACATAGATATTCCTCAATAGGGGATTGGTTAAAGACTAGTTCATCCCTAACTATATAGTGTATGTGCCACAAAAATATTGTGGAATATTGTGGTGCCATAAATAAGAATAAGAAGGCTCATACAGTGATAAGAAGTTTCATATAATGATTTGAAGCTATCTCATTAACATATATTGAATGAAAAATACAAAAAGCAGGACAATAAATATAGTATGTTATCACTAATATGAAAAATAGAGAAATCTCCCCATTTCTTCCCCCCCTTTTCTTTCTCTTTTCCTTTGCCTGCCCCTTCCTTCTTCCCTCCCTCTCTTCCTTCTTTATTCTAAGAGTCATTAGATGGAGTTGGGCATGATAGGCACAGTGATGAGGGGAGATCCCCCAGGGAATGGTGACTACAGTGGCCCAGCACAGTAACAGAGCCTGAGTAGGTGTCTGCATAGAAGGCTGGCCCCAGGTAAGAAAGGTGTCCAGGGAGAGTGGCAGCAGTTATGGAAGCCAGGTTCATACTGTCAAAGAAGAATTACAGGTATAGAAAGAGAAAAAAAAGAGAATGAATCTGTGGTTACATGGCAACCAGAGACATTGGACTGTGTGTTTTCCGAATCTTTTGCTGTTGCATATAGTGTTGTAACAAATATTTTACATGTTGTCATTTTGCATATATTTTACCAAATTACTCTCCAGTAATTTGAAGGGAATACATCTTTGTACTTGTCTCACAATTTTTCTGCAAGCTTAAAATTATTCAAAATAAAAAGTAATAAATAGGAGGGAAGGAAAATATATGCATATGCTTGAATGCACCTAGATTACCTCGTGAAGGTGGCCCACATGACTTGATTCTTCTGGGAAAGGGACTATATGCTCTTTTGTTCCTTTGAAAAGTGGTTATATGAATAAATTACCAAGTTAGGAGCTGGATTTTATGGGGCCCAAAGCTTATAAGAAGCCCAGTTTTTTTTTTTTGCAGGGGGGCAGTATTGGGGTTTGAACTCAGTGTTTCACACTAGCTAGACAGGCACTCTACCACTTGAGCCACTCCACCAGCCTTGTTTTATGCTGGGTATTTTTGAGATAGGGTCTCATGAACTATTTGCCCAGACTGGCTTCTAATCACAGTCCTCCTAATCTCTGCCTCCTGAGTAGCTAGGATTATAGGTGTGAGCCACCAGTGCCTGGCTGGTTAATTTTTTTATATCTTGTTTAAGAAATTAATTTTTCCCCTAAATATTGGCAATTTTCAGGAATGATGGATAAAAGGAACAGGAGGGAGATTGTGAATAATTTGAATCTACAGTTAATTTATAATTCCATTCCAGGCTGAAGCTTATAATTCCTATCTCACTAAACCTTGCCATAACATAAAGGTACCAGATGGCTCAGATGTTAATTTGCTTCTTTTCATTCTGTGGCTGTCTCTTAAAGGAAGTGGTAATGAACTATGAAATAGCCAAGTAGTACAGGACCTGTTACTGTGGGGGAGGTAATACCGTACTGTAACATTCAAAAGTTGATTCTTAATTTGACTGAAAAATGAGAATGTTTAGATAAACTGAAGGTACATACATGAATTTAAGTGCCTTACGTTTTATGTGTCTTTCTATTTACAGTAGTCTTACCAGATTGAAGTCAGTTGACTTATAATAATCTTCTGTTATTTTTTTCATTTAGGTTTATTTATAAAACTAGATCCTAATAAACGTTTGACATAAAAGAAATTCTGGTAAATTCTACACCATTCTGCTTGAGGCTGTCCCTCCTCCAAAAGCAGTTGTCCCCACTCCTACTGTGCTTACCTGCTGCAAGATCCTCCAAGGTGAGCCTGCTAACACTGACTCTTCAAAACAACCTTCTGAATATGACTCCCAGACTCTCTTCCACCTTCTAAACTTTTTAACAGGAAGAAACACTCCCTATGAGAATATCAACAATTCTTTATATCTCTGTAAGATAAAATTGTGGTTCTCCTGAAATTTTAACAGATTCCTTCAAGTTACACAAGCATGACATCTACCCACTACAAACAGAAGAAAAATATGTACTGAAACTTTTATTACAAACTTGGAAATGCTAGAAAATTAAATGTATAAATAAATACGTGGAGTTGTATGGGAGAGTGCATATGTGTGCATCTGCACATGCATTGTGAGCTATAAAGCTAACTTTGTTGTATCTGAACAAACAGATCTGTTTGGGCAGAGTAGGAAGCACACCTAGTTCTATTGATATGGATAGCTGAAATCTTTTGTCTGGCATTAAACCTCTGTACCATTTTTAACTCAGGCTGTTCTGTTGTGTCTTACCAGCAGTTAGTCATCACTGGAAGGAGACTGTATTAGTTTCCTAGGGCTATAACAAAGTTCCAGAAACTGAATGCACAAACTTCAAGCAACAAAACTCATCTCACATTTCTGGGGGCCAGAAGTCCAAAATTAAGGTATTAACAAGAACATGCTCCTTGGGAAAGTGCTAGGCAAGAACTATTATATGCCTTCCCAGAGGAAGTCTCAGGTATTCCTTGGCTTGTAGACACAACACAATTCTCCCTATATGTCTCTACATCATCTTTCTTTTGTGTATTTATTTCTGTCCCTGGGTCCAAATTTCCTTTTTTTATGAGAACACCAGTCATGTTAGTAGAGCCTACCTGAATGACCTCATTATAATTGATTGCCTCTGTAAAGATTTTATTTCCAAATAAGATAAAGTATGAGACGCTAGACATTAGGACTTCAACATTCCTTTTGGGACAGGAAGACATAATTCAACTCAGATAATACTAAAAATAAAGTGGGATATTAACATTCTGGAAAGCATATTTTGCTTCCTAATGTAAACAACAGATTATTTGACTTCAGTTTCTTACCTTTCTTTTTTGACCCTTGTTGAAAATTTAGGCCAAACCATATGAAATTGCTATTTTTGAAAATCACAATGGTCAAATATTACCAATTTCTCATGGCTCAACCTAATAACTTAGGGATAGCCAAATGGCACCCTACCAGTCACTCTTCCACAGCCAAATGATCAGCTAGAGTGCTTCACTGCCAAAGTCAAACACTTGACTTTGGGATGGCCAAGCCAGAGGAAGACCCAAGTCCTGAAGGTCTTCCTGAAGGTGCCTCTGGTGCCCACCTGTGCTCCTGTGCTGCTACAGGAAAGGCCCACAGATGAGAGTGGGGCCCTAAGGGTTTGAAGCTGGCAGCTTCTCCATGGAACCTCCAACAGAGCTTGGGGAAGTACCTGGGAGGTGACTGGTCTCACAACTTTGCAATTCACACGTCTGGCAACAACTACCATTTATTCCCAGTCTTTCAACTGATCCTGAAACCTCAGTCAGTGGGCTGTTATGACAACTGTATCTCACAGCTTGCTTTTTGTAGAACCAGACTTTTTTTTTTTTAATATGAAACTAAAGGACTAGGCACCAACTGCCATCTAGTTTTATTCAGCTAGTAGACAAGAAGTTTAGACAAGGAAGGTTCTTTACTCTTGTCATTTGGTTTATGAAGCAAAAGAACCTAACTGAAAAAAATCTCAGTTGCTATTAACACAGGGGTTCCCTGTAGCCAGTGAAGGAAAAATGGTTTCCCTGCTTCGCAGCAGACTGTAGGTTTCACTAATCCCTGGCATTTTTGCCTTCATCAGTTTGTATTTAATAATATGTATAGGCTGTGTTAGTTTTTCACTGCTGTGACAAGTAGAAAAACAATTTTTTTTTCATTTATTCATATGTGCATACAATGTTTAGGTCATTTCTGCTCCCTTCCCCCACCCCGCCCCCTCCTTCTACCCCCCCACCCCCTGGCTTCCAGGCAGAAACTGTTTTGTCCTTATTTCTAATTTTGTTGAAGAGAGAGTATAAGCAATAATAGGAAAGACCAAGGGTTTTTGCTAGTTGAGATAAGGATAGCTATACAGGGAGATTCTTAGCATTTGCTTCCATGTACAAATGTGTTACATTCTAAGTTGATTCGTCTTGAACTGACCTTTTCTCTAGTTCCTGGTCCCCTTCTCCTATTGGCCTCTGTCCCTTTAAAGTTTCTGCATAAGTTCCTTTGCATTGAGGACATCAAATACTATCATGTTTTTGGGGTTTCTTACCTATCCTCATACCTCCCTTTTGTGCTCTTGCCTTATCATGTGACCAAAGTCCAATCCCCTTGTTGTGTTTGCCCTTGATCTAAAGTCCACATATGAGGGAGAACATTCGATTTTTGGTCTTCTGAGCCTGGCTAACCTCGCTCAGGATGATGTTCTCCAGTTCCATCCATTTACTTGTGAATGATAAGATTTCATTCTTCTTCATGGCTGAGTAAAATTACATTGTGTATAAATACCACATTTTCTTAATCCATTCGTCAGTAGTGGGACATCATGGCTGTTTCCATAACTTGGCTATTGTGAATAGTGCTGCAATAAACATGGGTGTGCAGGTGCCTCTGGAGTAACCTGTGTTGCATTCCTTTTGGTATATCCCCAGGAGTGGGATTGCTGGATCATATGGCAGATCTGTGTTTAGATTTTTAAGGAGCCTCCAAATTTTTTCTGGAGTGGTTGTACTAGTTTGCATTCTCACCAGCAGTGTACAAGGTTTCCTTTTTCCCCACATCCTCACCAACACTTGTTGTTAGTGGTGTTTCTAATGATGACTATTCTAACAGGGGTGAGGTGGAATCTTAGTGTGGTTTTGATTTGGATTTCCTTTATGGCTAGAGATGGTGAGCATTTTTTCATGTGTTTTTTGGCCATTTAAATTTCTTCTTTTGAGAAAGTTCTGTTTAGTTCACTTGCCCATTTCTTTATTGGTTCATTAGTTTTGGGAGAATTTAGTTTTTTAAGTTCCCTATATATTCTGGTTATCAGTCCTTTGTCTGATGTGTAGCTGGCAAATATTTTCTCCCACTCTGTGGGTGTTCTCTTCATTTTAGAGACCATTTCTTTTGATGAGCAGAAGCTTTTTAGTTTTATGAGGTCCATTTATCTATGCTATCTCTTAGTTGCTGTGCTGCTGGGGTTCCATTGAGAAAGTTCTTGCCTATACCTATTACTTCCAAAGTGTTTCCTACTCTTTCCTGATATTAAGGCCCTTGATCCATTTTGAGTTGATACTAGTACAGGTAGAAAAACAATTTAAAGGAAGAAAGATTTTGTCTCATGGTTTCAGTTTCCAGTCATTTGGCTCCATTGCTCCTGGACTGTGATATAATGGTTACACAACATTGTGAATATAATTAATGCCACCGAATTGTATACTTACAAGTGCATAAAATGGCTGATTTTATATTACATATATTTTGCTATGACTTTTAAAAGTTACTGTTATAATAGCTTATTCCAAGAAGAAATTTTATGAATTTCATCTCGATAAAATTAAAAAAAAAAAAGCTAATCCTAATAATGCAAGTACAAGCAATGAGAAATTGGCAGAGCTGACCCTTATACTACCAGGAGTCCTTTGTCAAGCCATGTTACAAGGATACAACAATGGCTGACATATTCAGTTTCACTGATCTCACTTAAAAATATCATCATTGCCGAACTTGGTAATGCACTCCTGTAATCCCAACCACTTGGGAGGCAGAGATAGGAAGATCAAGGTTTGAGGCCAGCCCAGGCAAAGTTAGCTCAAAATCCTATCTGAAAAAACAAAACTACAAGCATATGCACTAGGGATGTGGCTCAGATAGCAGAGCAGCACTTGCCTAGCAAGTATGAGGCCCTGAGTCCAATCCCCAGTGATGCAAAAAAGATAAAAAGAAAGATAGATAGATAAATAGATAGATAGACAATTATTAATAAGACTTTTCTAGTGAAAGCAAAAACATTAGCTGTATTAATACTAAATAAAATTTTTAATTATTAAAAATGTGAGAAGTCTGTAGAGGGGGTAAATATAATCAAAATACATTTTTTTTATTTTATTATTCATATGTGCATACAAGGCTTGGGTCATTTCTCCCCCCTGCCCCTACCCCCTCCCTTACCACCCACTCCGCCCCCTCTCTCTCCCCCCTGCCCCCTCAATAAATATAATCAAAGTACATTATATTCATGTGTAGAAAATCACAATGAAGTTCCTTTGTACAATTAATACATGCTAATAAAAAATTGAGAGGTCTGGAAAATGTTTCAATCCTGTGTTTATGATAACTGTCTTGGTTTTTTATGGCTTACTATAAATTTAAATACCCCAATCAGGAGATCTTAAAGGGGTTTCAGTTCTTCCATTCCTGACTTCTCAGGTTCTTCCTAAACTACACTCATTCCCTGTCTCTAGCAGAACTGTTTTAAGGCATTTTGTTTTCTTGTGATGCCAGGGATGGAACTCAGGCCTTCTGTATACTAGCAAAGTGTTCCACCACTGAGCTATATCCTCAGCCCTTTTTCAAGGTGTCTTTACAGAATTCTATACAGATAATTTTCTTTTAGCAGGAAAGAGGTCAGCCAACTTTTCTATTAAAGGACTAGATGGTAAATATTTTTGGCTCACAGTTGTGATTGTCTCTGTCACAACTATTCAACTGTAACATTGTAGCAGAAAAGTAATTTGTGAATATACACTTCAAGCCAATTTTCAAAGCAATTTAGCCATTTCTAAGTTGACATATCATCCTGTTTCTGTCTCCAGTCATGGAATCTTATCAGGCAGGTAGACAGACAGGTGGAAACAAGTCATAATTCTTTCCACTCTTTACACACACACACACACACACACACACACACACACAGAACTGGTATATGAACCCAGGGAGTAATTGCAGAGGTGGAGGAGGGTGATTTGTACAAGGGTCCTGAGGTCTTCCTAAGAGGGAAAGGACTGAGACCCCAAGATTAAAATCTGTAAAACATGTCTCAAAATACTTTGCTATCATGGAGGAGGGAGGAGAGCAAAAAGGAGAAGCAGTGGACAAGAGTTAGAAGGGACTTAGAGGTCAGGAACATGAGATGGCTGAACTCCAACATGGGCCTCCTTCAGCCCTTTGGGTGACAGAATCCACATGCAAAGAGCTAACCTTGTGTGTGACCACTGCTGAAGAACTGTGTTTGTCTGTTGCATGACATAGCAGTAAGAACCTAGGCCACCTGTTGGGAACACCCAGGTGAGCTTTGACCTTCAGAGAAAAGCTTCCTCTTCTTGCACCATCCCAAGAAAGCAGTGATGGCTCTCTTCTGTGCTTAGACAGCCATAACAGGAAGAAAGGCTCAGTGCAGGTATGCCTCAGTCACCACAGTGAACCATTGGTGATGTAGCAGAGGTAACAGCAGCACCAGCCTCAGGGACTGAGTCCTCACAGCCCTCCCTCCCTGTTTTCCATGTTAGTTCTAGGGGGCTCCTGGCTTCTTGGACTTACTACAGGACAGAATGAACAGCTCTTCTGGGTAAGTTATGACTCATATCTGCCTGCACAGGTTGGGGGTGGCTTTGCAGCTCATGTATCAAACTTACATGTAACAAACTTTTTGTTGAGGCTGCAGGGGGAGGGTAATGGGGTTTGAACTCAGGGCCTCACACTTGCTAGGCAGGTGTCTGTCACTGAGCCACTCCACCAGCCTTTTTTTGTGTTGTGTTTTTGAGATAGGGTCTTGTGAACTATTTGTCTGGGCTGGCCTCACAAATAGTCTTCTGATGTCCACCTCCCAAGTAACTAGGATAACAGGTATGAGCCACTGGCACCTCTCTAGAACACATTCTTTTAGACCAGTATTCACAGTTTGAATGGTGTATGCAATTATGAATGACACTGATGAAAATGAGGATCCCTGCTGGCTCCTCCAAGGACATGTGCCCAACCTTAAGCTATAAAAGTTTTCTGACCTTTGGTAAGCACTCTCCCACTGTTATTCCAGAGCAGGGCAATCTAGCGAAGTGTAGGAAAAGGGAGAGAAAAGGGCAAAAATAGGCATATCAGGCTCCAGGTAGCAGTGATTGACATTGATCTTAAAGAATCTTTTTTAAGAGCAAATGTGAAGTAGATTTAATGCTTGGCTTTTGCTCTTCTCAGCTGTTTGTGTCTTGCATGACCAACAAGGGAGGAGCAGTGTTAAAGAAGATGTGTAGAATCTGCTTATGAAGAGGCTGTACCCAGAGGCTGCAAGTGAAGTGAGGATGAATTATCCCAAAACACTGCTCAAAAATGAGCCATGCCTGCTGCAGTACAAGTAATTGTGAAAAGTGTGATAATTATTACTTAAAATTAGGTATTGTGTCACTTAGTATTTGTGTCACCTCCATTACTTTGTAGATACTGTCACCAGTTAGCTGAGGGTTCTTTTGCTCTATCTGAATGAAAATCACAAATAGGAAAAGTATAGTTCCTTTAGTGTCACCAACTCAAGCTTAAGGTGTCAGAACCTTCTGCCCTTTTATTGTTTACAGCTGTTGGCTTTAAGTGCCAGCAGCTAGTGTTGCAACTCCAAGTTTAGAGTGTCAGGACCCTCAGCTATTAGTGTTGGAGCTACTTGGCAGCCAAAGTTAGCAACTTGACAGCTTTCTGGAACTCATAGCAGCTGGGACTTGCAGCTCTTCCATAATCTCAGCTCTTCACAGGCCTTCACCTCCAGCAGTCTCAACACTACTATCTCTCACCCTGTTAGTACTTCTGTAGTCCTTCATCATCTCAGCTCTTCACAGTTTCTGCTGTCTTTACAGAGACTGGCCACTGTCTGAAACTTTCCAGAGGCCTTACTGATGGGTGT